GGCCATTAGAGAAACTGTCACGGCTTGAAGAGGGATATCCAGCAGCTCACTGATCATTCTGCAACCATTGTCCATACAGTTGTGCAGAAAACAGGAGACGGCACAAAAGACCATCTTCCTTTTTGGCTGATGGATCCCAGTATGCTAAAATCCCACTTCAGGAGAGAGTTTAGTCAGCTTTGCATTCAGCCTGTGCTGAATGAGAGAGAGACAAGAACATTTTTTTGCTGCCAAGCTCTTGTCAATTGCCCTGAGAAAATCATTTCTCCCTGTTCTGGCTACCCATAACAGCAGAGGCCCTGAAGCTCCTTGACTCTTCCATGCTTTGAGCAGCCTCACGTTTTCACTTGTGAACTGGGGGGGGACATGTGTGTCTGTCTGAGATGTGTTGTGTGCACGCATAGGAGCCCTTGCTCTACCAACTGTCAGTCTAAACATTGAGAAAGAAAAACACTATCACACTTCAGATGGGAAAGGTGCCTTTCAGTTTTTGTTATTTAAAGCTGTGAGGTATTTGAATGGCACCTTGAAAGTAATAAGGCAGTGATTTATGATGCTTTTTTTATCTAATAACGTAGCACACCCAAGAACCTTACCCTTGAACCACAAGAGGAACAAACTTCAAATGATTTCCTCTTCATCTGTATTGAGTCACTCCCTTCGCAGGGAAAGATCAGCATTTCTGAGCAGAAGTCACAGAAACCCAGAACCTCTTAGTCAATGACCTTCGAGTGGTGTGCAAGCCTTATTGGGAAAACCTTGTTTCTCCTGCCTCCTGCCCTGGTAAGGAAGTAGAACAGACTATCACTGTCCTCTCAGTCCTTGGGACATGGGTCCTCCAGCAACACAGGCACATGTGTGTGACACCCCAGAAGGAAGCCCTCCATCCTCAGCCTCACAAGTTAGATCTAAAGCTGGAGCAGGAATCCTCCCAACTTACAGTGCAATAACCTCTACAAGAGATGCCAAAGCTGACTCAAAATGCATCTACACGTAGTTGTTCTCCAGCACCCTGGTAAACAAGCCCACAACTTGAGTGCCTACTGGACAGCAGGGGACTTAATGCCTAGCGCAGGAGGCTATTTAGAGTCCTGATACTGTGCCATCAGCTGCTGAGCTAGCACAGCTGAGCTGCCAGCAGTGCAATTGCAGTAATTCCCAGAGCAGTTTACCCGTGCTTATTCCAATAATAAGGCAGAAGGAGAAGGGCTGCTAGGGGTAGGAAACCCAAAACTGCTGCTGCTGAATTTCATATGTTAGGGCAGGTAATAAGATTGTCTTGCCTGCACACCTGTTTTACCAGGCCACTGAAACTACCAGTTACTTTGGTGCTGAGTCCAGTACACTGAATACGTGCTTTATTTGGTCAGGACAAATCTTCTATTAAAAAACATTCAGTTTTAATAAGCAGGTCTGGAACAGGCCCTTGGATACCTTCTTTGACAACTGGATCCTGCAGTGTAGCTTTGTTTTTATACAATCTGTTTCATGTTACACCAAATTTAACAGGCCCAGGAATATCCTTCAGTGCTTTTACACCTCCCTTTCTTTATCTATGTGCAGCACAAACTACCATAATACTGTGAAAATGAAGATTAGTTTTATTACTTTTTTGTTATTCCAAACAGCATACAGTGCAGTGACAGATGTTATGGTCACCAACCAAAATCTTGTGTTGTGATTAGCTATTATTAGCATGCCTCTAATCCCCAGGGGATTAAATAGTCACCTAAGCATGGCTTCAAGTGTCACCTATGTCTCACACGGACATAAACTAATCTGTTTTGTTGGAAACAGACAAAGCAATGAGTGTTTTGAAGCCCTTCAAATTCACAGAAAAGACTGCACTTCTTTCTCTCTCAAATCCCTGAGCCATTCTGGAAAAGCACACTTCTGCACTCAGATTCAGTGTCAGCAGGAATTTCTTTGAAAATACAGAGGGCATCTAGCATGCAGAAGTCAGTTTAAGAATTCACGTTTTATGTCATTCTTTGAGTGGCAAAGTACTATAAAGAAATTAACTAGGCTTTCTGTTATTTTCCTTTCACTTCTAGATGAAGTAAATGCTGCTGGTGATGAAGACACAATTGCAAGGAGTGAGTGCGAGCGGAGCTGAAAGTAGGCTGCACAGTGTGTGCTTAAGGCCACAGGCAATGAGCAGTGCCCGAACTGACAGAGCTGGTTATCTTCACACTCAGTGCAGGAGGCCACGAGCCCTGCTCAGTCCTTTCAGGGACACTGCTCCACTGGAGCATGGTGCATACAGTGAGCAGACAGCTGTAGCTCAAGGATTAGTCTGGCAAAAGGCTATTTGGCATCCTTCCAGAAAATCAGGCCAAGGGGTCCAGGCAGGACAAGGTAGATCCACATTGCCCAGAGCACAAAGCAGCTGGTACCTCTCCCCAGGCCTCCAGGTCTTGGTGTTCCTGGATAAACCCAGTCAAAATGCCCAGGGGAAGAAGGATCTTTGTGCATGACACTGGCCAGCCCAAAAGTGCTCCACCTGCCCCAAAGAAAGCCACTTATAAAAGGCCAAGAGCACAGGGTGTGGTGGTGTGGCCCCACCATGGCTGGGGAGGTGATGGAGACAGCACGCAGCCACTCCATCAGGCAGAGCGGGGCACGCTGTGGCACTTGCTCCTGGTCTCCCCCAGCCCAGGATTGGTGCTGTCACCTTCCCATCTCAGTTATCAGCAGGTCACTCCCCTGTGAAGTTGCCCGGTTGCCTTTGTAGCCATGGAGATGGCATGAACAGGGTACGATCAGTCTCTCTGCTAGACTTGTGCTTGCAAAGTGTCATTGCTTCATCTGAAGTGTAGGTAGAAGCTGTACACAGGCCAAATCAAAGTTTCCTCTTGCAGCAAGCAAGGACTGTCTTTCCATAGTAATAGGCAACTGTAAACAAGTTGCCTAGAAAGCAACACTAGTTATGGGGCAAGGTTGTATGCTTCCGATCAGGAATTCCTGGGCAAGTGGTTGTAAGTGATCTCTGCAGCAAGTCCAAGAAGGCTTTAGCCTTACTCTGAATGCCCAGATTGTTGGATCAGTACCAGGAGGTTCAGGACTCTTTGGGCTTACTCCATAGGAACTACAAGATTATGCCTACAGGGTATGCCCCAGGCTCCCCAACACCCGGGAGCCTCATGGGAGAAGTAACTGCTAGTGCTGGCAACTGCTAGATGAGTGTCTGAAGTCTCAAATCTCTCAGGCAAGCCTGGGTAGAAAGACTACATGAGCAGCCTTTGCAGGTGGGGAAATTCCTTGGGCACCTGGGGAAATGCTAAGAATGGCAGGCATGGTTTGCTAGCAAAAATGTTTTTCCAGCCATTTCTGCCTTTTCATCTTTTTGTGCTTTATTGCATCCCCATGGAAGGCTTCTAGGAAGAACATGCTGTGAATAAGAGAGCTACAGTATTTATGCAACTGGAAATGTTGACAGGATGAACTGGGAAGAATGTGTATTTCAGTGCACAAGAGAACTGGGCATTCCAAGATTTTGATGTGAACATGAAGACAAAATCTTTCTTCTCTCATCTTCACGCCCACACACATACCTCTCCCTGTAGATAATGCATAATGACTTTCCACTTTTTCAAGGATCACCTTAATTTGATAATGCAGATATTGGAGGAGCTAATTACATACCTACCCCATGTGAATTGTCAAATATGAACACGTGCCTATGCAGATGAGTATGTATAGTCCATGAGTTTCTCTGGTTAATGCTCTGCGCTTATTCTCCTAACACGTGTTAGTAGCAGAAAGACTTCAATAAGACAAAGGTGTGTTTCAATCACATCAGCAGATTTATTAGCTTTCTGGACAGCTTTTTCCATTATGTAAAAGCTGTGTTTGTATTAGGCTGGCAGTCAGACCCACCAGTGTGAGGATTACAGTTGGTTTTTACATAATGGATTATCCAAGATTAAGAGTTTTATTCAGGCACACGAGCAAAAATAACCAATTAGTGACTTTACACATTCATTATTTAAAGGCAGCTGGAAGGCATTTGACACAAAACTCTCCTGCTGACTGCAACCCAAAGAACGAAGCAGAGTGGTCTCAGGGATCTTGAGCACCTCTACTCCAACAGGTAGGTCTCTCTTCAGCAGAGGTGGGCCAGATTAGCATCTCTTGCAGCAGGGAAGTGCAGGCTGCAAGACAGCAGCTGTAACAGAGTAGCTGCTTGGGTATTTGGAAGTCCTGGATTGGTAGCTCACCTTGGATGCTGCAGGCAGGTTTCAGGTAATTGTGTTTTACCTTGGCATCAGAACAGATACTCAGGGTCAAATACTCTCCAAGAATCTATAATGCAAATGCTCTCTCCTCAAAATGTGAGAAACGCAAATATGCTGGGATACAGATGAACTGGGATACCTGAGAAAAGCCATGGCCACCTTGTGGCTGTGCTGCAATGGCAGATCAAGCCTCTAGAAACTGAATATCATGTCATGTGTGTAGAGGGAATGGTATGAGGGCAAACAATACTAAGATGTATTTTGCCATTAGGGTAGGCAGCTAGGAAGAGCCTGTTTCAGTGATGAGAACTAGTCATAAAGAACATAGCATTGCTAACTTAAAAACAAAGTGTACGCTCACCATCCTTTCAACCCACAGCACTTTACCAGAGCTCATTGCAACATCACTCTTCTTGTGAAAACAAAAACCTAAAGAAAATCAAATTTGTATCAATTCTTACCAACCTCATCCAGAGTCTGGCTTGATCTGCAATGTAAAAAAAAACAACCCACAATGCTATTACTGGCAAGCAAAACACTCTTATGAAGTAATTGCCACTGATGTCCAATTTTGGCTGGATCTAGGCACCACAATGCCCTAGTAGTTTCTCAGGGGATGAGTTAGTACTCTACTCAGCATGGAAAAAAACTAGTTTTAAAATGAGGGGAATCTGTATCTGTAGGCACAGCACTAGCTACTCTACATCTGCTAGCTACATCTATTGCATGAAATAAACCCCCATGTTTGCTTTTGTCTTGCAGAATGAAATACACACAATATGTTTTCCTGGCCTCAATCTTTTCTACTGTTGAATACAGCCTGGCTCAGACCTGCGCAGTGGAGTCTTTTGCTGTGAAAGACAATTTTGATCCGAAAAGGGTAAGTATGGTTACTTCAACCATATATGTAAAGAAGCTTCATATATTAACTGTTTTTCCAGGTTGTTGGTGGTGCTAATCTAAAGGGGTTCCTCACCAAGAAGTTAACTTCTTTTGTGTGTGTCTCTCAAAGTTCCTGTAGTTTGTTTCTCTTACTGATGTTTAACTTTCTGAGCATAATGGTAAAATCAGCCTTGAAAGTCAGGGACACTATTCTGTTAGATGTCACCTTCTGTTAGCTCAAAGCTTGGTGCAGATCTCATCTTTGAGCAGTCCCATGAATGAAACAATTTCGACCAGAGAGAAAGTCCCAGCACATGCCCAGGGGACTTGCATCCACCACCAGCCATTCCTGGGAGTCACAGCAAACTGCTGATTTACCTAGCTGGGTATCCTGAACACAGACTCTTGTTTAAACGCAGCATTTAATCTGCCTGCCTCCGAGGAGGAAATCAGGGCTAGCTTAGTGCTGGAATGGTCCAGAACTATTTAACAGTCCCTCGGGAAACACCACTTGCAGCTGCATCTGGGAAGGGGTCAGCACTTTCTCTATACAGGATTGGCTTTGCTGGACACAAGCCCATCTCTGAGGAGAGCTTTGGTTTTAAAAAGTCAGAGTGTTTCTCAGGCTCCAGTATTTGGGAATTTTGGACTCTGCTTCAGGGTTAAGCATGTAACGTGCCAAGCATATTTCATTAGCTTCTCTGGAGAATCAAATTTAACACAGCTAGTTCTGCTTTCCTCAATATTTCTACTAATGATGTTAACTTTTGAGAGGCTTCCTGTCTGTCACCTGTTTAAATCTTGTTTTCATTTTACTAGATGTTGCTTGTGCATTTTCAGGGACCCGTGTTTTTCCTAGGGGTTTTCTTCCCCTTAATTTCATTCCATTTCCCCTGCTGCTAACCTCCCCAGCACATCCTTTCCTCTTTATAATGCAGAATTGTTGCTTTCTGCTTTGCCGGTTTTTCACCATCAGCTGGTGAAAAGATCGACTGTGGCCCCCAGCAGCCACAAGAGTGTCTCCAGCCGGCTTGCTGAGGTCTTTGTGGCTGCAGTTTGGCATTGTTGATTGCATCTTCCATGGAAAAGCAGGGGCCTGAATGGGAAGAGGGAAGAACCAGCCTGACTCCCAAGCAGGCATCTCCGGATGGGAGAAGCTCTCTGTGTCGGGTCCCTGTTGATGGGGAACATCTCACGCAACAATGAGTACATGCACACAGTAGTGCAGATATCTGCTAGACCCACTCCTGGAACAGAAGCAAGGATTCATTAGGCAGCGTAGCAGGACTTGTGTGCTACATACCCACCCAAACTCAGACTTTCTCCATAGGCTAGGCAATGGGTAGTTACAAAAATGGTGATCAATCCAGATATTAACAGTCTTTCATTTCAGTATGCAGGGAAATGGTATGCCCTGGCCAAGAAGGATCCAGAAGGCCTTTTCCTTCAGGACAACATCTCTGCTGAATACACCGTGGAGGAAGATGGCACAATGACAGCATCATCCAAAGGCCGAGTCAAACTTTTTGGGTGAGTTCTCTTGACTTTTAGCTCTGGTTGCTGCCATGAGGTACTAGAGGAGGGGGACATGGACTGTGATCTACCCTGAGTACACAACATAGAATCGTAGAATAGTTAGGGTTGGAAAGGACCTTAAGATCATCTAGTTCTGGGCTTTATTCATCAAAAAGGGAAGCACAAACAAGGTAATGTATTAGGGGTCAGAGGTTAGACACGTTTGAGTCCTGGTTACTTCTCAGCCTGGCTCTGGTCTGGGTTCATCACAAAACTATTGCATAAAGTCAGTTATAAAGTTGAATCTTGAACAATGGAGTGGTTAGCTAAATGAATTGCAATCAAATGAGAGGAGCTAGCAAAGCCTGTGGGGCTCTTACTCCATTGAGAGGTTCAGTGGAAAGAAAGGAGTGTAAGTAGGCACTACTTTCACAGACCTTTCAACACAGTGTTAGACAGATTGCTGAGGAAAACACAGGGTAAACACTTGAATGCCACTGTGATGCCTGAGTAGACAGATGTAAGGAAGCTTAAGAGTTTTGCCTGTTGGCCATGGTTACTGTAAGGAATTACAGCATGTAAAAGAATTAAATAGCTTTCTGGGTGTGGAAAAGAAAATATGAGGCTTCCAGTGGGCTAGCACTAGTGCTGTTGTGCATTAACGACCAAAAACTGTCTAACTGCATGAATAATAGCACAGAAGAGTGTCTGTGAAGGTCTCAAAAGCACAGCACTTCAGGATGTCTTGGAATGGGGCAAATGAAGGTCTGAAGGCATGCCATGCATTGTGGGTGGGAAGATTCCTGAAAGAACTCTTCAGAAACCAAGTGGGGTCTCAAAGATGCCAGGGATTTATTTCTGCAGCATCAGGGTAAAGGGGAAGTGTGGCCTGTGCAAGGAAGGTAATGCAGACCCTTCCACTGTTTCACAAATCCAGGTAACACTTGACAAAGGGTGTTAAGGTGCAGGTGGTATTCAAAGCAAACAGAGAAGGACATTAGAAGAAATGGACGATTAAGATAAGCACAGGATTCCCATAGCCTGTGTGAAAGCTTTTACCTAGCTTGGGCAGCAGAGTTGCTGCAATTATTTCTATGCTTGTAACAAACATCCCTGTGCCAGTAGAGCTAAGAAGAATTAGAAGAGTATAGAAAACTTGCCACCTCCACCCGGGGACACAGCAAATGAGCCCAAATGAGCCCAAATGCAGGTCAGCTCATGCTGCAAACTGCTAGCAGGGAGCCAAGAGATTATGTCCATCATATTGCTTGGTGGCTGTTTGCTTGTACAGAAACGTTGATAAAAAGCCTGCTGAGCTGAAGCGGGGTCAGGGCACTGCCCCAGCCACAGCATGCTTGCACAGCAGAGGAGGGGACCATATGCTGACATATGGGAGCAATGCCCTGTCAGTGGTGGGGGTATGTCATTACTTAGTGACAATGACTGCAGTAAGAAAGGTCATGCCAATGCCTGAGGCAGTTGTGATAAACCATAGCCTGGCTCTTGCCCAAGTCCTGAGTGAGGGACTCTTGTTAGAAACTCACATTCCACAAGGTTTTACCTCCAGTCTGATGGTTATTGCAGGTTCTGGGTGATCTGTGCTGACATGGCTGCTCAGTATACCGTACCTGACCCAGCCACTCCAGCAAAGATGTACATGACCTACCAGGGACTGGCCAGCTACCTCTCCAGCGGTGGTGAGTGAACTTCTCCAGCCCACCAGTGCTGGGCAATGGCTTACAGCTGCCCGGGTTTGTGTGGTTCCGTACAGGAGCAGGAAAAATAGTTGAGAGCAGATTGCTCCAAGTGGAGACAAAGCATTCTTTCGGGGCAGATGCGTTACCCAAGAAGTGCTTTTTATCTCCACCGAAGGGGCAGGACCCAGACACTCCACAGGGCCTCTCCTATACACCATATATGCTAACAGGAAGGATGCAGCTTAGAGGAAACGGATCACACACACAGATTTTGTGCAGCTGGGTGGGGTGATGAACCTGGCACTTCCACAGCGCTGAGATGCTGTGGGGCAGTCATCCTTATACTCCTCAGCTAATGGAGGCAACATATGGACCCACATCTGTACTCCAGCAGCAAGGTTCAGTTCTCAGGGAGACACAGCTGGAATGAACAAAATGGAGCTGTGAAATGAAGTCCTCCTTGCAGAAACTGCTGAACCTCAGTTATGCACTCTGCATACCTCATACTTCGTGCCTAAGTCTCCATAGCTGTGGCACTCCAGCTGTGGAGGTTGGGCAGGATTCGGCATGCTAGTGCATAAGAAAGAAGAATATTCACCTAGTGTTGGCAGATAAGCCACACCAAACTGCACTTGGGTGAGCAAGGCTGCAAAACAGGAGGCAGGTTTTGCTGAGGCTGTTTGTGTAGGAAATGCAATCTGTATGGTGAAAATTTAATGTGTATGCCCTGCCTCCCCATGCTTGAGCAAGCAACATAAAGCAATTTCTTGTTACTGAAATCCTGGAAAGTCCTAGTCCTTCTAATACTTTCAGCCTAAGAAACCAAAGGCAAAAATGCACTGAGTTTCATGGGGAACAAAGATGCCCTGTGTTTGTCCAGTTCTTCACTTCATGGTGTGGAGATAAGCTGGATGCGGGAAGTGACTTTAGATACTTTCAGAAGCTATCCCTGCCATGTGCTGAAGTGAGGAGTCTCTCTGCAGGATGACTACATCCACCTCTGCTCTGTTTTAGCCACTGTGACCAACACGTGTGTTCTGATGTTTCAGGGGACAACTACTGGGTGATTGACACCGACTATGACAACTATGCCATTACCTATGCCTGCCGCAGTCTGAAGGAGGATGGCTCCTGCGATGATGGTTACTCCCTGATCTTCTCACGCAACCCCCGTGGTCTGCCCCCAGCCATCCAGCGCATCGTGCGCCAGAAGCAGGAAGAAATCTGCATGTCTGGCCAGTTCCAGCCCGTGCTTCAGTCAGGTACTCTGAGCTCACAAGCACACACAACAGAACTGTAGCAAACTACATTATCATCTTTCAGCAAGCTTTTTTCATGTTATATCCAATGAGAAAATGGATGCAAAGGGAAGTTCATGCAATGGAGAAAGCATGTTACAGGGCAGTACTGCACCCTTAGATTTACCCTCATAGGAATCCTGTGTGCTGAAACACACATTACCAGAGAAAGACCATCTTTGTTACTCTGATAGAATAGGGATGGGTGGAACAACCTGTGTTTCTGCACTTGGAGATGCTTGTCTTGGCCACCTGGTTAACAGCATCTTACCTTAGGTCTGTGCACTGTCCTCTAGGAAAGGAGGAGAAGCTGCCTTCAGGAATGAGCACCCTCCCTCTGCTTAGCTCCAGCATGATTTGTGTCCTGGCTGATCTGAGCAGCAGAGATGAGGGGCTCTGAGCAGCCATTCTGCGTCTGATGGCAGTGGCAGTCAGCAGTTGTGCCACACACATGCAAACAGAGTATGTCTAAAGCCCATTTTGAAAGAACTTTTTTCTGGAGGCATGGGAGCTGATCTTCTAGCTCATTTGCTGCCCATGAGACAGGCAGATAATGCTTTAAGGCTATGCTGGAAGTATAAATTCCTCTTCGTTGGTAGCTAATTGCTCATACCTTGCACATGCCCACAGCTTTGCCTGGAGATTGGCCCTTTACTAAGACAGGCCTGACAACCTGGGGGTTGGTCTGGGGGGTTGCTGCAGTAACACATGTCCTGCACTGCTGGACTTAAAAAAAGAAATATCAGCTAAAACATTCTGAACTTCACACCATTGTGTGAGCCAGCCCTCCACCTCAGAGCAGGTCCTGTCATCACCTGAGGTTATGAGACTGGCATGGGCATCCCTGCCCCATGCCCCTCTGTATTGCTCACTGTAGCAGAGGAAGGGTAGCTGGCTTCTGGGCTCAAGCTGAAGTGCCTGAAAACTCATGGGTGGCTGGGACTAGCAAAGGTTGCTGAAGTGCTTCACCAACACACACAGAGCAAGGTAGACAGCATCTTTTGCACCCCATCCTAATCTTCATTCAGAAGTACCCTAGGGAGGATGCGGCTACAGCTCCACTGAAGACGCAAAAGCTGTTAAAGCACTTTGCAAATTTACTTGCAAGGACTAAAGTTTACTTTTCTTTCTTTCTTTACAGGGGCCTGCTAAAGTACCTTTAAGCACAGGAACCAGACCTCTTGGTCTTGAAGCTGCCACTCGGCTAATGAGAAAAGAAAATCATAGTATTGAGTAGTGTGTTTGTCCTGAAAAACACATGAAAATCTTGGGGATTCTGTAAACTGTGTGCAGTGCAGTACACCAATAGCTGAATTTTCGAGGGAATACCGTGGCATTTCTCAATAAATGTTTTTAAAAAAAAACCTCACTTGTGGAATTGCTTTTTGTTACCTGCTGTCCTGTCGGGGAGCAGGAGGAGTGGGGACACTCACGGAAGGGAGGTCAGATGGTGGCCAAGGTGACTCCAGCACAGTGGGGGCAGCGTCCTTCTCCAGCACCAAGCAGGGGGAGCAGTGCAGGGGAGGTCACAGGGACAGGTCTCTGACAGTGCTGACTGTCAGACAGTGATGGGGCAGGTCTGCAGTTCACTGGGGAGTCCATCAGGCAGTGAGCGCAGCAAAGCACAGCCCTGCTTGCAAGGTGGCTCTGGGCAGAAACAGCCCTGCAGAGGGGCTCAGAAGCAGAGCTACCTGCAGCGAAAGGCTCCCAAGTGTGCAGGGGTATGGGCTGAGCTGAAGAGGGCTTGTGGACCATGGGCAAGGGGTATGCAGGTGCATAAAGCAACAAAGGCAGGCTCGTAGGTGCCTGCGGTGCCCTGGCATGTGTGACATACCTCTCGCACCTATTCCATTTAAATAGTGAAGCTAAGGTATCCCCTCGAACAAAAACCCAGGTGAGGTTGATAGTGACCCCTGCTGCCTGGTAATATCTTATGGTTATTTCTGAAGACGCAAACGTCTGTGTAGGGAATTTCTAACCAGCCCCTGAATCGCAAATGCAGTAAAGCGTATTTTCCTTTCAGCGACACTGGGATATTGCTTTAAATGAGCAGTTACTGGTTCAAGCAGTGATTTACTCCCCACTGCCTGCATAATTCAGCCTCCAGTTGACTGAGAGGTATAGAACTGGAAAGATACAGAACCAACAGGTCTTGTGGCCATGAATTTCACGGAGGGAATCAAAATAATAGTATCTAAACAACTCCATGTAGAAAAAAAGGTAACCCAAGTCAGCATTTTTGGCATGTGTCCCACTGCGATTAGTAAAATCACATTCACTTTGCATGTTTCTTAAAAATAAAACTGTTGAACCCTGAAGTTTGTCAGCAATACAAATTTTTAGAAGCCATGATTACCAACTAATCATGGAAGCCAACTGCCCCTGCTCCTGAGACGTTCAAAAGGTATGTGTCACAAGGTTGATACTGAGGGAACATCTTCAGAGCACTACGCTGTAAAACAGCTTCTGCAAGATGACTGCACAATTTTGTCTGCAGTATGCCATTGAAAGACTAAAGACTCTGTTATGATGACAGAGACATTGTCCCAGGGATGCAGGGAAGTCTCTCAGCCAGCACCAAATAAAGGTGTACCTTGATCTTCTGGTCTAGGGAAAGCTACCCTGGTGGGGAATAAGATAGTGAGCTACCATCTAAACCTAAGGACAGAAACAGAAGACCAGCAGGAAGCAATGTAAACAAAAATTACATAGACAGAGACCACGGAGTGTTGAAAAAATATCAGCCTCTTGTGCTGAACTAAGTGCAAGGTCAGTGCATTGATTGAATGCTCATGACTTGCCCCCCTCTCCCATGAGGAAGTACTGAGTGGAGATCTGTGAACTTAGGACTTGTATCACAAGTGATTAGACAACACTAACCCTTTGCTGGAGGAGCTTGGCCTCTGTCCAGGACATTCAGACCAATTCTACCGGTCCTACAGAAGTGGAATTTTTAATGTCTATGGTTATAGCAACTGTATGATGGGAGTTCTAGCAATATGCAGGACCAAGTGCACCCTTAGTGTGGTTGTTACAGTCTGTCTAGATGAGTTAGGCAGTGAAACCCCTCAGCCACACAAGCCTGTGCCTCCAGGTTTGTAGGAGGATAGTGGAGATTCTGGGTGAATACACCACGGAGTTATACATGCCCCGGGAATCTGCCTTGTTCTTGGAGGAACACTACCCCATCAGGACCACATGTAGGCCCTCACCATATGATCTAGTGAGCTAGTAAACAGATGGGAGTTATCTCATATGCATTTCTCTCCACTGACTGCATGAAATGTGAAAGATGGAGTAGGGTGGGCAGTTGCAAGTGTATTCTGATACTATTTACACATCTCTTATTATTCCATTGAGTGCAACATAAAACACCTAGGGTATGTCTAGAAGCAGACACACTTCTGTCTGCTGTTTGAGCTGGCTAATGAGAACCAGTCTATTATTCCTGGTTTGATGCGTGTGTATAAGTCCCAAGTCATTATCTCTGTCAAGCACAAACTTTCCACTAAGAAGAGAAAAGAAAAAGCTCTTTACGAATGAAAAGGACTGTTGTTTTGTCCTCAGAAGGTCCTTTAGTGCTGGCAGAACGGCTACGACTGTGCAACAGCAGGAGGAACCCTGCAAGGATATTGTCCTTCACACACAAGTGAACCTTCTCCAGGCAAGGACACTGCAAGGCCTGAGATCTGACCCTACGATATCATGTTGAGTTAGACTAGTTTTCCCTGGGCTGTGGTAACTGAGGCAATCTATGTATGCACTTAAGTTCCTACTTCATCCTTGAAATTTCTTACAGTCATACTCCCCTTCATGCTTTATTTTTATGTAACGTTGAAACTTGCACCAATCAAGTTTTTATACCTTTAGAACAGGGTTTACTTCCCAAGATTAAGTTGTTGACACTAGATTTTTGAGCAGTTTCCAGAACACATTGATCAGATCCTGTTTTTACAGGCTTCATGTGAAAGATTAAAACCTGGTTTTATTGAGTAGCACAAAAGATGGCAACAAATGCAGTATATACACCATTATAAAACACTCTTTTTGAAAGTTTTTTCCCTAGCATTCATTTTAACAAATACTTGAGAAACTGTTACTTAGACCTGGAAGCTTTTGCTTGAAGAGCCGGCAAATAATCTCACCTTGGAGTTGCAGTTACACTTTCCTACTTGGATTTATGGCCAGGAAGAGATATTACTGAGCGTTCTGCAGTCTTGCTTGGATTTTGATGCTACAGAACTACTAAGCACCTGCTAGCACTTTGGAAAACTAAAACTGTGAGGAAGGGCTGATCCCTGTCCAGTAATGCAGACGGTAGAGTTAAACACACAGTTCTGGAAGCCCCATCAGACAGAATCAGCAACAGATGGTTACAGAAAACTCACATTTCAAATATAAAATAACAGTTATCTGTGACATAAAATTATAAAACAGACAAGGGCAGCCCAAAACTTCTATACTTTGTTGGAAATAAATTCAAGCCTGGAAATACCAAATTCTCTGCTGCAATTGTTCAGACTTGCTCACTGATGAAAGAAATAAACTTATATCAAAGCAGCAAAGAAAAAATTTCTTGCTGAATATCCAAAACTGGTTTCTGAACAGGCAGGGCACCACTTCTGGTCAGTTGTGCTTTCCAGGTGTATTTACCACTGCCACCTGAAAAAACAGCGTGCCTTCCACACTCTGGAGGATGTTTAAGGCAAAAGCCCTAAATGAGGGACCTAGGGACACATTTTCAAAGTGGCTGGACTTGACCTTAAGAAACTGGCTTTTATTTGCACCTACAACATGCTAAGTTCTGCTCAGGCAAATACAAATTCTGACTTTTTGTGGCTTGAACAGCCAATACAATATTGTAGGAAATTTCACCTTGAAACTTTAGGGAAACCAGAACTCTTACACTGCTTTTTGACAAACCAAAAAAATTACAAACCACTTTAAAAAGGCAGCCGCAAGCCTCATGGTTGTCTCTGCTAAGAAGCACAAATCATGGGTCAACAGAACTCCCAGCAGTAAAAATCTTCTAAGAGATGATAACTTGCCCCAAAGGAAATTACTTACCATAGGGATAGACTTCATTCAACACAGTGAAAGAGAAGTCAATCACCACTGTCTGTTCTGCACCTTTGCAAAAGCCAAATATTCCACCAGGACTTATCAGATTTGCATCATTTGTGTCATA